GACAATGGCTTCACATATAAAAATTTAACAATGCTATATCTCACATATCCTCCTCGGGAAATAAAATTATAAAAGAGCTTCAGTCATGAGTGCCAATGACAAGTGAGCAGGCACACTAATTATACCAGAGTACAGCATTTTTATGAAAACATTTAGAAACAAAAAGGGAAGCTAACTTGAAACCAAAATATGATGGTTCAGTGTCTATGAAGTTGGTTTCATGTGCAAAAGTATGAATAATGTATAAATTACCTATAAGCTATGTGTGTAAGTTGTACATGAAAAATAAATAGATTTTATCCTTCTATTTGGGTCCCATTAACAAGATACCACATCATATATGTGCAAATATGCCAAAATCACAAATACTTCTAGTCTCAAGTGTTTAAGATGAAGGATACTAGTCCGACATGTGTAATTTATCATGATAAGAAAGGTACATGGAGGCCTGCTTTGAAAATGCTCTAAGTTGCAAGCAAAGTATTAGATGACTTCCTCATGTATAATTCCCTTTTAAGCCAGTGCTTACAAGAATAGTTTGGAAAGTCATTTAAGTTATTTTTTAAAAAGGAAGAAGATGGCTGGGGAGATAGCTCAGTAGAATAAATGCTTGCCTGGCAAGTGCAAGGTACTGAGTTCAATCCCTAGTACCGCAAAAAAAAAAAAAAAAAAAAAGAAGGGAAGAAGAAAGAAGAAAGAAGAAGAAAGAAGAAGAAGAAGAGGAGGAGGAGGAGGAGGAGGAGAACAGGAAGGATAAAGAAAAAAAAAAAGTATATTCTAGTCCTAGAGAGATATAGAGGGGCATAAAAGAAATATGAAAAGTACAATAGAAGCAGTTCTTGCATTTTCAGCATAATTTCAGGTTTGAAAAGTACTCTTTAGGAACCATAACCCTTCATACATGAGATTTTAAATGTTACTGCTTCAATGAAAAGCAGAATATGTGAAAACCATTCTTAAAAGCAGAAACAATTGTAATATTGTGGAAAAGTTCCTGAATTTCAAGTACTATTCTAAGGCTATAGTATTTTTTAATGTAATGGTTCAACAATAATCACTTCAAACGAAGACCGTTATTGAATTAAGTGGAAAAAATTAATTTGGAAATTAGAAAAACATAAAATGCTAAACCACACATCAGAAAAGCAACTGATATCTATGACAAAGACGGCATGTTAGGTTGATAATACAGCCTCTGCACTCACAGTACAATTACAGTTTTCACCAATGAGTCAGGAGACATACAGAAAGGTAAAATGATCTCACACTAGTTTTATATACAATTACATACATACTGCATCATACCAAGAAAATAATGTACACACCTGATTTTGGAATTGCAGGTCATTTCATTCTCAGGGTAATGAATATCCACTGCGTCCTGGATGACTGTGCCATATTCATAGACTTTAATCTTCTTTGTAACCCCAGCAATGGCAAAATAGTCACAATCCCGGTCAAATTCAATACTAAAGGAGAAAAAGAAAAATGTTTTACCTATAAGTCTATTTGTCACATTTACAATAATATTTCAGAGCCTGACATTCTATTAATAAAATAACTTCTGTTGATAGGGATAGAGGATCCACTTGAAATGACTTCAAAGTATGCTGGCTCAAAATTATGTCCCAAATAGGTCATCAAAAACACCAAATTCTAAGTATTAATAATAAAGTTGCAAAGATCTGCACAACTGTACTGACAAAATACTACTGCACTCAAATGCCTGACATATTTTTCAGCTGAGCAACAGTAACAATATTTTAACAAGGCAGGAAAGATTTAATGGTCTAAATAGTTTGGTATATTGTAAATATTTCAAAAATTAACAAATTTAATAAATCCTAGCAATTTTTCTTTCTATCTTATGAAGATTGACAAGAGTTCACAGTACTTAATGTCATTTTAATATATAAATGAGTATATATTAAATAAGTATATATTAAATAAGCTGAACTAATGATGTAATTGGGTGGTAACAAAGGAACAGAATACTCTTAAAAATGGAGTCACTAAATTGTTACTTTACCCAAACAAATATGATCTCCTTGAATTACAAATCCCAAAATATACTCCATAGAACACAAACAATAAGGCAAATCTTGAAATCTCCCTTCTTTTAGTGTTTCTTAGGATATTCACTTTCCTTACTTTCCTTGTAGTGACTTAAAAAAAAAAAGTCCTATATAAGCTACTCAAAACATAGATCTCATTAACTTTTGTAGAACTTAACTTGGAACCACACTAGAACTATTATAAGACGGCTAAAAATACAACTGACTTCATGAAAATGAACGTTGAAATGTATCTATTATTATTATTGTTATTGTTGTTGTTATGCAGGTTGGATGCGGAGTAGTGGCCCTCCTGTTTTCAGCCTCCCAAGCGCTGGGATTACAGGTGTGTACCACCACACTCAGTCTCAGTCACCATCTCAGTGTGCCCTAGGGGTGGGGCCAGCACTTTACACTAGAGATCGAACCGTGGTCCCTGCATCTGCTGAAGAAGGTACTTTAGTCCACTGAGCTATCTGGTCAGCCCTTGAAATGTAACATTATAAACATTACTTCTTAAAATAATTTTAGCATACTTTCTAAAAGCTTACCTATAAGCCTATAATATTCATAAGAATTCTCACCTATAATTAACTATATAGATCAATACTCAAAGTTAGCCAGAGAATAAAATGGTATTCAAAACCAGACAGTCTGATTTGATAGTTGATGCTAATAATCACTATTCTAATCTTCAAAGTTCTTTTGTACAAAGCAAAATGCAAAGTGTAGTGGCTAATGGTTTACTATAAAACAATGTGAATGTGTCCTTTACACCTATGTATGTGCTCCATCACCACAAATGCCCACACAGCGTGCTGCACACATCAAGGATTCACTAAGGGAATATAAATTCAAACACCTACATGACATATATTGATAATTATCAATGATGCATTTTGATATAAAAATTAATGATTAATTAACTTAGAATGGTTACTAAGCTAGTGGTAAAAAATAAAATAAAATAAAAGAACAGGAGAATCAACATGAGTTCGAGGTCAGCTTGGATTCCATAGTGGGTTCAAGACCAGCCTGACCTACACAGCAAGATCCTGTCTCAAATGACAAAGCTTCCTTTAATGACACACTCAGATACTCAGCATATAGCTTTCAATCTGCCATAATTTTATATAAATTTTACAGGATTTTCATTCAGTTAAGTGTTTCTGATGAAAGCACCAATTAGCAAATGTTATTTTCAATATAATATGACTACACAGCAATGCAATATTTACAACAATCTTAATCAAATTATTGCCTCAACTTGATTAACACAGCATAATTATACATATATCAAGTAATCATCTATCCTCAACTTATATTCACAGCTTCCTGTCACTGAAGACATAATACTGTATCTGGTAAATGACAGTTATCAAACCTGAATTCATGTGTTCAACTTACTAGGTTTTGAGTCTGAGACCTCAAATGAGAACCAGTTATCCCTACTTTTCCTCCCCCTTTAAACAAACAGCAATTCAATCAACAAATCAATTCTAATGCACTAGTAAAAGTACGCCATTAGAAAACACTATTCATTTTAACATAAAAAAACTGGATATTAACCAGTTGTTATGTCAAAAACAAAATGTTAGCCTATAATCCCAGTACTCTGGAGGCTGAGGCAGGAAAATCATCTGGAGTTCAAGACTAGCCTAGGATACAAAGTGAGCTCAAGGCCTGAAATGCACAGCAAGACCCTGTCTCAAAAAGACAAAACAAAGTGTTTTTAATATCTACATTTACACATAAATAAAAATGGACATTAATAGTTCAAAGAGCCAGGAGAAAACTGACACATAAATAAAAATGTTATCTAACGGAAGATCTGGGGCCAGCAAGATAGCTCAGTAGACTAAAGCACCAGCTTGGGCAAGCACTGGGACCACAGTTCTGCGTCCCCCGCTCCATATTCCCTGTCAGCTCCACCCCTAGGACAGGCTGAGCAGGCCAGAGTCCAGGTATAGCGGCACATGCCTGTAATCCCAGTGCTAGGGAGGCTGGAAGCAAGAGGATTAACCATGAGTCCAAGCTGTGTAGTAAGATCCTGTAACAATCAAATACATTAAAAAAAAAAAAATCTGATATGATGGCCTAAATAAGTTAAGGCTATTATGTCTTCTTTTGCTACTTTGCTACTTAGAGTAGTGCTCTCCTTATCTCTATTTCCAACAACATAATGAAACTTCAGAAACAGATCATGGAATAATTCATACAAGCACTTAAGTTTTCAGGTAGAGTTTTCCACAGTTAATTTCATGTGAATGGCCTTTTACTTTATAGTACAATATTTTAGCTGCTTTTATTGTTCGGTTCAGTAACACAAATGGAAGTGCAAAAGTTTAACAGTGATTTGTTAAATGGAAACAAAAACAACATAAACAGATTAACTGAATTTATTTGCTTACGCACTTAAAAACGAGAATTATAAGACATCTTGCTAATGTTACAGTTTATTTCTGCCATCTGCTATCTACCAATAGTAATTACTAAAACGATTGGTTTATAAAAATGTAGTTCAATGATAAATTCCATTTCACAGTATTTGTTTCTAATTACAAGGTACACAAATTTCCTTTGAAAAGTACTAGACACTAGATTCACTTTTGTTTTCTTTTTTGTATTTTAGGAAACAGTCTGCAGGGTGTTCAGGGTCTCACTACCAGATCGGACTCAATGATCTGCCTGTTTACAGCCTCCCAAGAGCTGGGATTACAGACTTGCACCACCATGCCCAGTCTCAATCTCTGGCTCAGCTTGCCCCTGCGGCGGGGCTGGCAGAGCAGGCCCAGGGATCGAGAACTCCCAGTCTCTGTACCTGTTTCAGGTGCATTAATCTGCAGATTTACTTCAAATGTGTAGATAAATTGCATTTTTCACTCATACTTGAAAATATTTCAAGTGACAAAATAAACTGACTTATTTCAGTTGATGAAAACAATAGTGCTCGCTTTGGCAGCACATATACTAAAATTGGAACAATACAGAGAAGATTAGCAAGGCCCTTGCACAAGGAAGACACACAAATTCATGAAGCAGTCCTATTTTCGGGGGCAGGCCAGATAGCTCAGGGGACTAAAGTGCCTGCTTGCTTGCTTGCTTAGGCAGAGTGCAGGGACTGGGGTTTGATCCCCAGTGTGCCATGCCAGCCCCTCAGCTGTGAGAAGTTGAGCCAAAGATTGAGACTGGGCGTGGTGGCACAAGCCTGTTAATTCCAGTGCTTGGAAGGCTGAAAACAGGCGGATCACTAGGAGTTCGATCTGGGTAGTGAGACTGTACAGACCCTGCACTAAATACACACACATAAAAAGAATAATTCATCTATAAGAAACTGGTCATGCTCTCTGTCAAACAGGGCCATCAGTCAAGTGATTACAAGAGCAAGTCAAGAGACCTCAGAAGACAGCTGATGAATGCCTGCCTCCAAAACAATGTGGCATATGCAATTCAAAGCCATCAATACACCCAATCAAGTGAATACTTGCAGGGTTCCTACAGTCGTATCTCTTTTCATTACAAAATAGTTATTAACAAAGTGAATTAATATCCCGAACGCTACCATCTAATTTATGAAAAGCAATTATAAAGAGCAGTTATTGAGTTTCATTATTATGGTGACAGCATACCTCAAAAGTAACAAGTAACTATAAAAGAAATGGAATCTAGATTTAGAAACTGAGCATTTTAGTGAAAAGATCTGTAAAGAACAGAAACACAAGTCAATTAATAGTTGGTGTTGTTCAGTACTGTGAGAAAAAGACTAACGTCATTCAACTGACTTTCTTCCCTAAGACTGATATTAATAGTTAAAATTCTCTATATAGTATTTACTATGTCCTGGATGTTTTAAACACCACACATAAACTCTAGGTAAAGAAATCAAGATATAGATGTTCATATGCGCAGTAATACCAGATAACTGAAACAATCTGTTTTGAGCCTACATTTTCAATCATTATGAAAAATTGCAATTTTAACAAAAACAATGAGTTCTTTTTAAAGAACAAAGCACAAACAAGAAAAACAGAAAAAAAAAAAAACCATCACTATTTTGTATATAATGATAACAATTCAACATTGTGCAAAAATTATTTTTATTTTTTATTTAGGACAGATTATACAGATCTCAATGAGTAGACAGGACTTGTAGTGATCCTCCTGTTCACAGTCTCCCAAGTACTGGGATTACAGGCACATGCCACCATGCCTAGTCTCAATCACCATCTCAAGTGTGCCCCGGAGGTGGGGCCGGCACAGCAGGCCTGGAGATTAAACTCCAGACCCCTATGTCTGCCTAAGTAGGTGCTTTAATCCACTGAGCTATTTATCTGGCTCTAACATTGTGTAAAAATTAAATAGAAGGGACCGCAGCATTTTGCAAAAGTTATATACAAGGGACTACAAGAGTAAGTTATAACTGGTAGGAAAGATCATACATAGTGTAAGGAAATATCAAATGGTAAGACAAAATGTATATAGCAATTCATAAGGCAACATCCTGAGGCCTGCAAGAACAAAATAATAACATAGGAGTATTCTCAGCCATTAAATATACAGAGGGCCTGTTAGCTGCCAGACAGACACTGAGATGGCTGATAAAACACAAACATACAAAGTCCTCCCTATCAGCAATCTATGCTTTCAGTCTGTGTGCTCTATTAGAGCATTCCTATGCACAAATAAGTATGTAAGAATTCCTATTTTTAATCAAACACAAGGGATGACATTATACGTCCATATTTATACCACACTGTTTCTCCCTTCACCTAGTCACTTCCTTATCATTTCATATCATTATATATTAGGACCACCTCATTTCTTCCAAGTGGTTGCACAGAATAGCATCATATCACTGTACCAAATTAATCAGTCTAATACTTATTGTAGTCTCTTACTATTAACTATTTAAAAAATGCTGCAATAAGTGTCATTTCCCATATATTCCAGAATGCCTTTTAAGTATGTGTATGTATATAGAGATGAAGTGTAATATAAAAAATTATACACATTTTATTGCTTAGCAAAAGCCAAACCTCTCTCGACTTCTACACCACTAATCATTCCAGTTCCTTCCCTATTCTCTTTATCTTCTTATTCTTTTTTTTGCCCTTATGATTACCTTTATTAGTCAACATTCAAAAGTAATTGTGAAAGAAATAAAAATATTTAAATTCATGAAACTAAATTTTATCACTGCCACAATGTGATTTATCTTCTCACTCTAACTGAAACCCAACTGTCCCCTGCAAATGCCTCCACACTGGTTTCTCTGAACTCTGCCTATATATCATATTCAAGTAGAGTTACAAGTGTGGTCAATGTCCTCTTTGCTATATAAAGCTTCTTCCAGACAATTTCCCTTTGAAATGCTCCAGTCTCTGTAAAAGATACTGTTCAATACCTCTCTAGTTATTCCCATGCATTCTTAGAAATTTTAACTTTTGGTGCACTATCACTCTTTCCAACACTACTCCTGTCATAATTCTTAATTATTTCAATGACCATACAGATGATTACTCTAATACCATGACCAATTTCATATCACACTTACAAAGATTTTTCTTTCCGCTTACACTCCACACACAACCATGACCATATTCTAGACATTTTCATTACAACTTCACCACCTCTATAATCTCAATTTAATATTCTGACATAGCATTTTCTCACAAACACTTCCATTCTTTTCAGTGTACTCTGTTCTATGAACCTTTAAAGGCCATCACCTCCTCTATATTCACTTTCTTCTTTACACAAAATATACGGCCAATAATGAGAACTCCCTTACATACAACTCTGTACTCTCACACAGTCAACTCGATTTTTTTCTTACTTCCTTAGCACAATTCTAATCATAAATTTGCCCGCTACTCTACACTTGAACTGCCACAACACAACACTAAGAAAAACACATGACAATGTTCTCTGGTCTTCTGAATTCCTAATCATTACCTGAAATTGGGCACTCAATACTGTCTAGCTTTGTAAGATATTTCCCTTGTCTGTTTATTATTTAACTAGCATAAAACAAAATTTTCGGGCTTTGACCATTGTTCTCCAGCTTCCCCTGATCCTTTATAATTACTCTCAGCAGATTCTACGCTCTATGGATTATTGAAAATATCCAAAGTATAAGAAGATCACTTCCAAAGGATCCTACCACCATATCTGTATTTACCAGCATTTCTTTCAATATACTTCCACTACTTCTCTTGTCACTCCAGCTGAATGATTTCTGTTTCAGGACTGGACTAAAATGTTGACTTGTTTGTACATTCCATCCTTGTTTGCCTTACTTTATGAATTAATTCTCTTCCTCTCTCCTGAATGAGCTTTTCCATTTATTGTAGACCTTTCCCATAACATCTCTTTTAAATTAAGTACAAAATAAATGAAAATATCTCTTACAATTCTATTTCTATCTACTTACCACTCATTTACTTTTAATGAAAAAAAGGGATTCAAACTCAGGACTTTTGTGTTTGCCAGACAGGCGCTTAAGCCACTGAGCTATATACCCCAGCATCTCATTTAATATTCTAATAGCACAACTTTGCCCCCAAAAAACTTACAAAAATGATGAAAAACTATGCTATGAACTCTGTCCACACTCATTCCAACTGACTCCAACTGACATTTTCTCCTAAGTTATTGGAATCTAGCTTTTACATCTACCACTGAAAACAGTTATAAAATATAAACGTCAAGAATAACATCACTGGGGCTGGTGAGATGGCTCAGTGGTCTAAAGCACCTACTTAGAACAAGCTTAGCAAAGCACAGGGACCGCGGTTCAATCCCCCAGCACCACATGCCAGCCAGCCCCGCCCCCTGGTGGGCTGAGCTGGCCACACACACATAAATAAATAAATAAATAAATAAATTTTAAAAAAAGAATAACATCACTATGAATCATCTTCCTTGAATATAAACATTAATGACTTCATCCCCAAAGACAGGTAATTTTTCTACTTCATTTAGCAGCTAGATTGTTCCTACTTTAGCCATTCATTTTTACTTTCACACTTAAATATCACATTTGTACACTCCACCTCCTTTTCACCGACATGAACATCTCATGGTTTTAAATCTATACACTGATGACCCTCATGTGTTTGTCTTCTACCTCCATCGCCCTCTACACCAAAACTGCCTGCCTACTTGACACCTCCAACTTTAATCAGGCATCTGTCCTGAGTTTCTAAATGCCACACCAAACCCTTCTGTCATCTTGTAAATTAACCACATCTCTCTCATTAACTAATTTCTACAGTAATCTAAATACTCCTCACTGACTTCTTACTTCATTGGAGAAACTGTATCAAAATACTTTAAACTGATAATCATAAAACACAGAAATCTGGGCCAGCAAGATAGCTGAGCAGACTAAGCATCTGCTTAGCCAAGCACAGTAACCTGGGTTCAATCCCCAGCACCACATGCCGAGCCAGCCACCGATTCAGGTGTGGTGGTGCAGTGCTGGGGAGGCTGAAAACAGGAGGATCACTAGGAGTCAGAGCTGTGTAGTGAGACCCTGTACCAAATATATTTTTTTAAAAATATAAAAAAAAAAAAAAAAAAAAAAAACACTGAAATCTATTTCTCAGTTCTAGGGGCTAGAAATCTTAGGATTAAGGTCTAGATTTGCTATCCACTTAAAGGTCCACTTCCTGACTCATGTAAGGTCATAAATGGCAGAAAGGGAGAGGGAATTCCCTCAGGCCTCTATTTTAGGACACTAATTCCATCTGAGAGACCTTCATGACCTAATTAGTCCCAAATACCAAGCCCAATGTATGCACACCTGCCAAATACCCTCATACAGAAGATTAGGGTTCTACATATGAAGTGGGGGCTGGAGGAGCAACACCAAAGTTCAGACCATAACAAGGTAACTCTGTTATCATTTTCATTGAAGGCATCATATTTTTTGCCTGTATTAGTATCTCTGCTTCCATATTTAATCTCTAACAGTTCTACAATCCATTCTTAACACAAGAAAAAAATACCTTTCCACTGATTAAAAGTACTGTGATACCTTCAGACATAA